GCAATCCCGGAACCAGTAGTTAGTGGCCATTATAGAACACGCTCTGGTCGTTCTGTAAGACCACCGGCTGGTTGGTAATCCAAGTAACGGTCAAAAGTGGTTGCCAGTCCAAACTAAAATTAAGTATAAAAAAAGCGTGTAATGTGTGTCAACGTGGACTTAAATATATTAATCTTGACACTGTGGCAACACTGATGTACCGCCATTACCCCTACAAGAATTGTGTGATGGAAACTAGCACATTCTCATATGTAGCTGCAAGCTATGTTATGGTGTGTTGCATAGTACAACCAGCAACTATTTTTTTCCAAATTTCTACGTAAATAAATAAAATACTAAAATAGACATTTCGTACTATTTACTTTGCATAACTTAGTTCGTCAATTTGTATACCAAATAGCACTGCGCTGCCTCTGCTTGCGTCGGCTCCGAAAAGCGTTGGTACGCTATTGTCGTTTACAAGGTGTTCGTAGGTTTCTTGCGTCCAACTTTTCCGTAAGAAAGCATAAATCCTGGTTGAATAAATTTCTGTAAAAAAAACCCCAGTAAATATTTTTAAATTCGTTTTAGTTCGATTGCGTTTTACGGTACGCTTACGTAACGCATGAAATGTTTTTGCAAAATTTAATCATTCTTAATCTAATTTTTTTCCATCTTTACTTCGTTTACGCCGCTCCGGTTACGGAACGCTTAAAGAAGTCTATGCAAATTTAATATTTTCAAATCTAATTTGTCTCATCCTTATCACAAATTGCGTTTATATCGCTCCGCTTACATAACACATAAAGAACTTCATACCAGTTCATCTTTGAGTCCAATAGTGTCATTCACTTCATTCTAATTTCGAACGAGAGGACCTTGCTGACCACACCGACTCGCTACTTGAAGTGAAACTTCAAGACTTAAATTCACGCTGGGAAAATTTGCGTTCCACTTATGCAAACGTATGTATTGCTGATGAGAACTCCGTTTCAGCAGAATTCAAGGCAGAGGCTCACGACAAATTTCAGCTGTGCGCCGACACTTTTTACATTTGTAAAGCCCATATCTTAGATCAAATTAAACTTATTCAAGCTACCCCAAGCAAGAATTCGAGTTTGAATTACTCTCTTCAGTCTCAATCAGACAACTCCATGGCTTGCATTAAAGTACCTCCATGCGACACTGAAGTCTTTTATGGCAGCTATGAAGATTGGCCCTCGTTTCGTGACATGTTCACGGCCGTATATTTGAACCACCCCAACCTAACCCCTGCTCAAAAGCTCTATAACCTCCGAAACAAAACCAGAGGTAAAGCAGGTGGTATCGTAAAACATTACAAACTATGTGACGAAAGTTTTGGCCTGGCTTGGGAAGTTCTCCGCGCGCGTTATGAAAACAAGCGAATGCAAGTCGACAACCAGCTGAAAACCCTATTCAGTCTCCCGGTAGTCAACTCCGAAAACAGTGAAGCGATTCAAAAAATCCAAACCACGATTAATGATTGCCTTTCGTCACTTAATTCCCTAGGCGTTCCCGTCGCTAATTGGGATCCAATCCTCATTTATTTCTGTACAACGAAACTCCCAGAAGAAACCCTTTCACTCTGGGAGAAATCTCTTAAATCGCGTAGAGAACTATCATTGTGGTCTCATATGGATGAGTTCTTAACCAGTCGCTACGAAGTCGTAGAACGACTAAACAGTATTCGAATGACTAAGAATCGGCATTCATTTCCACAACGCTCCAATAAAATTCAAGCTTTTCATTCGACCTGTCCTTCAAATGCAAGCTCTGTAGTGCTCGTTCTTGTTTGTGATCTCGTTCTTGTAGCCAAAAGAAACAATGTACTCATAGAAGCCAAGGCAATTGTACTTCACAAACCGTTTTCTCCCAACTTTCCCGATGAAAAAACACAGTGTCGCCGTCAAAACGGACTTAGATCTGGCTGACCCATATTTCTTCAACCCTTCTCAGATTGATATCATCATTGGCAGCGATTTAATGCCACAAGTTCTCCTCGAAGTAGTCAAACATAACGTCTTCGGGAATCTTTTAGCGCAAAACTCCATATTTGGGTGGTACCTCAATGGACCAATGAAACGAGAGGTGTTATCATCCTTCCATACTCATGTCATGGAGGATGACAGCGAGAGACTAAATTCTCAACTTAAAAAATTCTGGGAAATCGAAGAATTACCAGAGCATCATACACCATCCGAAGATGATGTATTTTGTGAGACATTCTATCTCAACACAACATACCGCCAAGATGACGGACGATATGTTGTTCGTCTTCTGTTCAAAAGAACATTTCCAGTCTCGGTCGTTCTCGTTACCAAGCCATGAAGCAAGCCATTCGCATGGAACATACACTCAGCAAAAATCCCGACCTAAAAAAAGAATATACTCAATTATTGGAGGAATACTTAACTTTAGAGCACATGAAACCAACCTCTTCTGATGAAATCCATGATAATGGAAGGTATCTATCTTTTCATTTACCTCATCATTCGGTCATTCGTGCCGAAAGCAAGTCAACAAAAGGAAGAGTGGTATTTAATGCCTCTAAGCCCTCCGAAACTGGACTTTGGCGCAATGTGTTCTCCATACCGGTCCCACTTTACAAACCGATTTAATGTTCGTAATAATAAATAGGCGACTTTACCGATATGTTTTCAATGGAGACATCTGAAAAATGCATCGGCAGATCCTTGTACACGAACAAGATCAGCAATTTCAGCGCATCCTCTTCCGTAGGAAAAATGAAAATAAAGCCAGTGACTTTGCGCTCAAAACAGTCATTTTCGGCGTTAATTGCGCCCCGGATTTGGCGATCCGTACTTTACACTAATTAGCAAAAGATTCCTCACACTCTTATCCATTAACAAAACGTATTCTTACCGAGGAAACATACGTCGATGACATATTATCCGGGGGCCATAATATCCCATCCTCCTTAAATGCACAATCGCAACTCATTCAGTGTTTATTAACGGCTGGATTTCCTCTGAAAAAGATTACAGCCAATCACCCACAACTTCTAACAAATATTCCAACAGAAGATTTGCTAGACTCCACATCAACTTTCTTAAGTTTGATATTTCCAGCTCCACTAAAACACTCGGCATACGGTGGAATGCCCTAAACGATTCATTTTCATATTCTATTCAGCCAATAAACCCATCAACAAGTGCAACACAGTGCCAAATTCTTTCCTCGGTGTTTTTGACCCGACAGGGTGGCTATCGCCTATCATTATTCAATCAAAAATGCTATTGCAACAACTTTGGCTAGAGGGCACAGAATGGGATGAATGCGTCAAACCACTTTTACTGCACAAGTGGAACCAATTTGACGTAGATTTACCAGCAATAGGTCAAATTCAAATACCCCGATGGACAGAATTCGCTACCGATCGAAATATCCAAATTTACGGATTTTGTTACTCTTGAAAAAGCCTACTGTGCATCAATTTATATTCGCGCCCAATCACATGTAACCATGTTACTTCTCATTTACTATTTTCCAAATCTAAAGTGGGTCCATTACAAACCATAAGCCTTCCGCGCTTAGAGTTATGTGGAGCAGTTTTATTATCCAAGGCAATTAAAAACGTTATTTCCCAGCTTCCGCTCGAAAAATATGAGTTATTCCTCTGGTGCGATTCATCTATAGTCCTCTCGTGGTTAGAAAAACCACCATGTACTTGGAAAGTATATGTGGCAAACCGCACAGCCCAGATAATCAAATATGTCGGGAACGTCAAATGGAGGCATATTTCATCTAACTAAAACCCGGCTGATTTGGGCACACGCAGCTGCAAGCCCCAAGAGTTAGTCCATAACTCACTTTGGTGGCACGGTCCCGAATGGCTAGTGAAAGCTGCGGAGCATCGGCCAATATCCTTTCAACAAAAAATTATTCCCCCCGAGATTCGCAAAATTAAAACCCTTCATACACTAGAAGAGGAACCTGACATTCGGAGTCGATTTTCATCATGGCCCAGAGCAGTACGAGTTATTTCATACATATTTCGTTTCTTTAACCGAATTAAACCCCATCATGTACAGTCCACTTCCGAATCTTCATACGAAACAATAGTACTTTCGCAAGCCGAAATACAATTTGTGAAAATTCGACTCATATCACTCGCTCAGAAACGCCATTATCCAAATGAATATTCAAAACTTTCAAACTCCCAAACAGTATCAAAACGGAGGTCCCTTCTTTCATTAAATCCATTACTGGATAAATACGGCGTTTTTAGAGTAAACGGACGTTTGGAAAATGATTCGCTTTCTTACAACGAAAGGCATCCAATTATTCTGCCAGAATCATCAAGATTTTGCTACTTATTTCTCCAATTTATTCATAATCTGCTAATGCACGCAGAACATCAACTCATGATCAGAGTAGCCAAATAGGAATATTTCATTCCGAGACTTAAATCTAAAGTTAGACAAACTATTTTCGATTGTAGAATATGTACGATTCGTAAGCAAAAAATGCAACACAAATCATGGCAGCATTACCACCAGAAAGATGCACTTATTTCTTACCATTTACTCGAACGGGAATTGATTTTGCGGAAACTTTTGATAAAAAATCAGCTAACACTCGTAAGGCACCCTTTCTAAAGGGGTTTGTATGCATTTTCGTATGCTTTTCCACTAAAGCGATACACTTGGAACTCTGCTCCGATCTTTTTACCAAAGCTCTCCAAGCAGCTTTCTCTAGATTCGTCGGTCGACGTGGCCTACCTCAACTTATCTTTTCTGACAACGGGAAAAACTTTGTAGGAGCAGGTCGTGCCCTTCAAAGGGATCTCCAACAATTTCTAACCCAGTTATGCCGACCGTACTACATGTAGTACACATGCTATTTTCAGAGTTTTGCTATAACTGTTCCTTTTTTTTGTTGTGACACAGAACATCAAAGTAAAAAAAAAAATGGATAAGCTTCAGCTGATGCAATTCCCTTGCTCTTTTTTTCTATCAAATATATCAGTTGTGTGAAGTTAGCAAAAGTGTGAAGATGTCACGTGGTCGGTAAGGAAAAATTGTATAAGCAGTTTTATTGTTGTTGCATTTTTGTGTTTTTTATTAAAAAATAGTTGTAAAAACGTGTCTGCATCTAAAGTACATGTGAAAAAGCAAATTATATGTGATTTTATTTGGCGTATTTACTGGCGTACTACATGTAGTACGTTCGGCATTTACATAGTGAAAAATATGTTACAATTATTTTTTTTGCAGCAATTTAACATTAAATGAGTTAATATCTCCCTTAGAAGAAAGTGACGAAGAGGTTTCGAATTACGGCATTGCGATTGTGCCTGCTGATGACGCTAATAACTGTGTAACAGATGAAGATTGTGGAAACGATGAAGAAGTGAATTTTGACAATTTACCTCCTTTGTTATTAAATGGTGAGGCTGAGCTATTTAGAAATGCTTATTCTTCTGATTCTGGCAGTGAAGACGATATTCCACTTGCGTTATTGTCACCGGCGAAGAGACGCAAATTCGATATGGCGTCAGTGAAATGGATAACGCTAGGCGCATATTGCATCCGATATGACGACCGATTTCGGCCGGCAAATTTCACCGTCCGAATTGATGCGCACACTTAACCAGATTATTTGCCGACCGTATTTGTACACACAAATCTAGCTTTCATTACAATTTTGTAAGCAGTGAAATATTTTGATACATTTTAATTGAAATACTCTAAACATGTGATCTATATGTAATTTTTTGTTTTTGCACCCAATAAGTTAATTTTTCGCAGTCCATTTTGGTACTTTTCACCTGACAATGGACGAGAAAAACAAACATGTTTGAATTTATCGTCACTGACGGACGTCAACGGCCTATGTCGGTTCGGTTATCGGTTTATGTGTGAGGGCGCTCATAAATTCACAAGTGTTTATTCATATCGCCCGCATATAGCCGATGTACGGCTGCAGTGTGCGCGTAGCGTAAGGCACGATCTAATTGAAACAGAAGCCACTATAACGGAATCTGAACAAGAAAATTTACCAACACCTTTACTGAAGTACACGAAAGTTTCTGGATAATAAATGATTTGAATAAAATTGCAAGAAATATGTATTTTTTACTTAAGTACATGCATACATATGTGCCGAGCGTACTACATGTAATACGGCCTATAAACTCGCCATAAAATATATATATTTTTAATCTCTCTTCAGTTTTGCACTACTTTGTGTCAGCTTAACTTAAGTTAAGAAAACTAAGAGGATTGTTGCTCTAGCAAGCTCGTCGGCATATCTGGGCTAAAAGAAGCATCCACCGATATCCGCTCGAAATACTCCAGTCACGGACTCGAATGGCGCTTTATTCCCCCAAACGCACCGCATATGGACGGCTTGTGGGAAGCTGCGGTGAAGAGTTTAAAATTTCATTTCAAACGAGTCGCGGGAAACATGCATTTCACCTTTGAAGAATTCGTCAGATAACCCGCAATACTTAGTGGCTCTGACTCCAGGGCATTTCTTACGAGGTGCACCACTGCTCGCTATTCCTGAACCGGAAGCTGAAAACCTCTCCCTTCAAAATCGCGGAGAGAAATTAAAATTGCTCCATCAGCATTTTAGCATTCGTAGGAAAGAAGAATATCTAAAAGAGTTGCATAAAAGACATAAATGGAAATGCCCACAAGAAGATCTTAAAGAAGATGATTTTTTCGTCAGCAAAAATGAATTGACACCACCAAAGGAATGGCGGTTAGGGATAGTTGAAAATGTGTATTATGGCTCAGATAACAAAGTTCGTGTTGCAGACCTTCCAACTCCGGTCCAGAACCGCTATATTTATACTACTCATATGGCAAAATACAGTCGTATTTATAGCCAGTTCGCATGGCAACCTCTTCCAGTTAGTTCGAAAAAAGGGGGTTGCTGCGTTCCCTCAGGACTAGTTGCATTTTAAGGGCGTAAGTACCTTAAACACGGCGCGCGCCTTGCACTGGTGCAAGTGTTTTCTGGACCATTTTTAAGGCCCTGATGGTCTGCTGTACAACTCGACGTGCTTCATTCCGAGGCAAGTTTGCATTTTGCGGTTCGCCCGTTTGCGTACGGTGCAATAAGGTATGATGGTTCCTATTACAGGTTTTGCAGCTGTCCGCTGACGTACACTGCTTCACACGATGTGTTCGAGCCAAGCAGTTGGAGCAGTATTCGAATATCCGCACATATCGAATTCGCTCTTCCACGTTCATATTTAAGAACATCCTACAAAATCGAAGCGCGTGATAGCGATGACTACTAGACGCAAGTGAACGGTAGGATCCCGTCGACGAGGTTGAGTTCCATTTCTGCGTGGTGCCAAGCGCAAGTGAACAATAGGGCGACGATGGCGATGTGGTGATGGGCTGCTGTAGCGAACAATGATTGCTCTGTAAATAGGATAAACATTCGTAGGGGGTATTGAGAAATGAATGGCTAGGACAATGCACAAAGTTAATGGGGTGGATTGTAGTCAGGGCTTTGGGTGAGATATCTCTGACGGAATGGGCAGAGCACATAATTTGATAATTGGTCCTGTAAAAAGGCCAGTTGAGTTCGAACGTCTGCAACACGAACTTTGTTATCTGAGCCATAATACACATTATCAACTCTCCCTAACCGCCATTCCTTTGGTGGTGTCAATTCATTTTTGCTGACGAAAAAATCATTAACTTTAAGATCTTCTTGTGGGCATTTCCATTTATGTCTTTTATGCAACTCTTTTAGATATTCTTCTTTCCTACGAATGCTAAAATGCTGATGGAGCAATTTTAATTTCTCTCCGCGATTTTGAAGGGAGAGGTTTTCAGCTTCCGGTTCAGGAATAGCGAGCAGTGGTGCACCTCGTAAGAAATGCCCTGGAGTCAGAGCCACTAAGTATTGCGGGTTGTCTGACTTAGGTGATAAAGAACGAGAGTTGAGTACTGCTTCGATGCGGGTAAGCAGGGATGCGAATTCTTCAAAGGTGAAATGCATGTTTCCCGCGACTCGTTTGAAATGAAATTTGAAACTCTTCACCGCAGCTTCCCACAAGCCGCCCATATGCGGTGCGTTTGGGGTTAATAAAGCGCCATTCGAGTCCGTGACTTGAGTATTTCGAGCGGATATCGGTGGATGCATCTTTAGCCCAGATATGCCGACGAGCTTGCTAGAGCAACAATCCTCTTAGTTTTCTTAACTTAACCCTTTCGACCCGGAGCTCTACTATCAATGGTAGCTTTCAATTTATGGGTCCAATATGTTATTTGCCCCACAAATACATGTTCTTCGGTGTCAAAGTGGGCGTGGCCTAAGGGGCTGATTCGGAGGGTGGTGGTAAACCATTGTACCATCCGGGATGTTAAGTGGTACATATCTGTACCAACCGTCCTCTAGGACATTCTTAAAAATGTTTTATCTTTTTTAGAACCAAACAAAACGATTCATTAATTTTGCATTTGAATAATGCACAAATTTTGTAATAATAAACAGTCAAAGAATTAACAATAAATTGCTAAGGAATTCCAAAAATATAATGAAATGGTGCAAAACAGAATTTGCACAAAGGAACTTTGCACTCTTGGCAGATTATCTTTGTTCGAGTTTGCTTTTATGCAACGTTGTTCTGTGGTGCTTTGAATAGAAATATGTATCTGACTCACGACACGACGTGCTAGGCCTGGTGCTACTGACCTGCGTAAGGCTGTAGTTTTAGAACTTTGTTCTATCAGAGTTTCGGCCAAGGTCACCAAAAATGATTTGAAAGGCATTTTATTCCTCCTTAGCTAACTGTAAATAACCCACGCGCTTACGGCTGCCATCACTATAAAACGGTAAAAGACCTTGTTCCACTATTTTTCTGATTTTCGATCATATTCGTGCAGGCCACTCATTTGATTTACTAAATCAACACCTCCCATAATTTGACGATAAAATAGTATTTAGTTTGGACATGGCACTTGCATTTTTTGCCTGTTTTCAAAGTTTTTTCATAATTATTATGCCTGGTTCGTGGCAATTTCTTGTTATGAAACCCCTTTCATGTCTTGCCGCTTTACGTATTAAAGGCCTGCAGATGTGCTTTTGAATTCTATTTCTCCTCGTTGCATTTTCTTACTCGTAAACTTAGGTACGTTTTTTTTCTGTTACCCATTATATGTAGTACCAACAGCTGAATAAGGAATATAGTACAATAAATTAACTGATGTGAAAAAGCGATCAAAACACAAAGTAATATCATTTTCTACGATTTAGCTGACCAGTTTGCTTACTTCTCTTTCTCCAAGTGCTCCTGCGGTTTCTTCAAGGTCTTTTCCAGAATAAATGTTAAAACGATATGTGTACCCTGTTGCAGCAACACACCATCTTACCGGATTTAGAGGCATATCGTTGGCTTGATCTTGCATGAAATCGATAAAAAATTAAGTTATGTTCACCGGAGACTGCTGGTGCATATATGTACCATATATTTGAATTTGTGAAAACGGAGGTTTATAATAAAATTTTATCACCGTATTTACAGGCAATAATTAGAAACAGCTTTTTTCCCATAATATATTTAAATAAACTAAGAAATCTTCACAAACGCAAGGAAATCTGTACAAAAACGTTAACGGGAGGCCCTCTCCCCAGAAATAAAACGAAACTGGGCATAACAGGAGATGCAAAACTGAATGTGTAGAGTGCAGGCAGATGGTGAAATTCCTAACATACGGCGTGGTACATTTCCAAATGTGATTAAATGTAAATTACAAGTTTTAGGGATGTTTAAACTTTGGTGGTACATATATGTACCATCCGGGTCGAAAGGGTTAAGTTAAGCTGACACCAAGTAGTGCAAAACTGAAGAGAGATTAAAAATATATATATTTTATGGCGAGTTTATAGGCCGTACTACATGTAGTACGCTCGGCGCATATGTAAGCATGTACTTAAGTAAAAAATACATATTTCTTGCAATTTTATTCAAATCATTTATTATCCAGAAACTTTCGTGTACTTCAGTAAAGGTGTTGGTAAATTTTCTTGTTCAGATTCCGTTATAGTGGCTTCCGTTTCAATTAGATCGTGCCTTACGCTACGCGCACACTGCAGCCGTACATCGGCTATATGCGGGCGATATGAATAAACACTTGTGAATTTATGAGCGCCCTCACACATAAACCGATAACCGAACCGACATAGGCCGTTGACGTCCGTCAGTGACGATAAATTCAAACATGTTTGTTTTTCTCGTCCATTGTCAGGTGAAAAGTACCAAAATGGACTGCG